GTTGTGTATGAATTTTGCATCTACCGTTGTTTCTGGCAATAGGCACCATACTTACTGTGCTATGTGAATAAGTCATTCCTCTGTTCCGATTTGAACCTGTTGTGTGAGAGAACTTCATATGATATTCCCTGTTTTTTGTATAAGGAGGAGCAGAACTGTTTGGTTCTTTCCCAGGCAGTTTGATATGAGTTTAGAATCTTTAAAGATCGTGGTAATGTGTTCACTCAAACACTTGTCTGGGTAAGAAAATAATTTTAGGTTCCATTAATTGTCCTTATGCTTATTTCCTCATGTTAAGATACAAACTAGTATCAGGAAGCGAAGCTGGAGGCTTCCCTAGCTGACTCTTCAGGAAGGACATCAGTGCTACAGACATGGTCATTTAAGAGGTCCCATGGCTCTTTTGGGTGGAAGTTGATCTGGGCAGGGACAGTCATCAGTAGTAGAGTTTGACTTACTACTTCAGTCAGTTATTGTCATTTGCAAATAGAATTGTGAGAAGTAATTCTTGAGTTACTTAATGCTGTGTTCCACAGTGTTTACTTTGCAGTTACTTACTTGAAGTAGATAAAATTTTATGCAGAGTTGTGCCCAAGGAAACATTAATGTCAGAGTTGTACAAATTGTTCAGACTTTTCATGTAGGCTGTAAAGGCAACTATAAAAGAGAGACAATGCCTTTAAAAAAGGTTTGCAGGTGTCAGGTACTGTCTGAATGAATTCTTGTTTTATTTTTTTCCTGTACCTTTCTTCTGTTGTCTTCTTTGGCAGAAGTAAAGATTTTAAAAAATGGAATTTCAGGATGGTTGAGGTTTAAAGGGACCTCTGATGATCAAGTAGTTCAACCTCTTTGCTCACAGCAGGGTCAGCTAGGACAGGTTCCTTGGGACACTGTCTGGTTGGATTTTAAGTATCTCCAAAGCCAGAGACTTCATGACCTCTCTGAGTGACTTGTTCCAGTGGTTAAATACCTCATGCTAAATAATCTTCTTCTTGTGTTTAAGTTGAATTTCTTACATTTCAGTATGTGCCGAGATAGGGTTCTTTGAGAGTAAGAAAGTATTCTGAGTTTGTTTGTATAACTAATAGTAGATAAAAAGATAAAATAGCAAGTTGGTTGAATTTTTCTCTCTGCAGTTTGGCTTGGATAATTCATGCTTTTAATAAGAATAATAATTTAAAGTGTCTTTTAACTTTAGTCACAGGAGATATTTATGGAGTTGCTTACTACTCTCCTTGTTTTGTGTAGAATTCAGACTTCAGTTCCTAAACTTGAAATACAAGGTCAAGAGGTAAAGGGCACTTCTGATGAAATAAAATATAGTTATGTAGTAAGATCATACTGTAAACCACAATTCTCTTTTGCCAGCAATCCTACAGAAAAGAGAACATACAAACCATGACTGGGGGCTGGGTAAAGTAATACACAGTTTGCAAGCTGTTCCAACACATGCTGCAGGTTATCAATAATGGTAAAATTTTTGTATTGTAAGGAAAATTGCTGTGTGGCCATTAGTCATTCTTCTGTCAAATGTTATGAATTTGGGCACAAACTTTTTAATGTTCTGCTTTCCTTAGAGCCAAATAAGATAGAAATTGTGTGCTACATATGTCTGTTACGTGACATTTATGTTAATTTATAATGTTTGAAAAAGAATAAATTATGTGGTCATGGATCATATTTGTCTAATAAAAACTTTTACGATAATCTGCATATTTTAATTTTGTGCCACTGTAGAGTAATTTGCATCTCATGTACCCTCATGAAGGATTAGGCTGAACTCCGCAGCAACATTACTGTCACCATGAGATACCGTTTTCTCTGAAATCATGTGTTTCTCATACTATGGATTATATTTGAAAATATTAATGAGAGAATCGCTTGTGATTACTAATAAAATATTATTGAGGTAGATAACCATAATTCAGATGAATTGTAAAAGACAGAATTGTCGTTGGCAAGTCACCTTTTTGGTCTTTCCTTGATTCTGTTTTGCTCTTCTGCAGGCAGTCCAGCCTGCCTCTGCTGCCCACTGCCTATGTCAGATCTGCCACCTTGACCTCCTCATGTGATTCTGTAAGGCAATGGCTCAAATTTATTAACTTCCTTTTGTGTGAAAATAAGAAAGCCAGAGACATTTGGAAGGAGATCCCACTAGGGTAGTGAAATAAAACATCAGATGAATAACAATAGCAGGTAGACTATTTATTAAATTATTTATTTTCTCTCAGGATTGAATAGCATTAGTGGAAAGTTCCCTGGCTGCGTAATGCTGTTCAGCATAGGACCTGATGGAGATGGCTGGAACACTTCAAACCTGTTAAAACTCTTCCACGAATTCATTCTTTCTGCATATTCTGTGGTGGTTTTTTTTGTTTTGCTTATTTGTTGGGGTATTTTTGTGGTTTTGTTAGTTTTTTCTTTTTTTTCCTACAGAGTAATTAACAACATGTAATTTGATATTGTGTAAGTTCCACAGGTGGTTTGACTAACCATGAATTGTGCAGTTCAGAAATGCTAACTCTGTTGTTATGTGTAATCTCCATAATTTAGTTAATCTTACAATGTTTTTATTTTACTTACTCTGATTTTTCAGAAAACTGAATTGGTTAGGTTTGTTAGAATACAGATTGTCTGTGTGATGTACGGTTCATGAGTTCTTTAAATAGTTACACCTTTTCCTCTGAATTATATTTAAGTGAAATGTGTGACATGGACATTTGTGAAGGCTACATGGCTGGTTTGCTGATTCATACATGGCAATGTTGATAATTCTGGGATCTTTTTATATTTTCATTCCCTACATTTAGTAGTTTATGAACTTTTAAAAGTCATTATATTTAGAGTCTTCCTCCCCTCTTTTGCCATGCCTTGACCCGTATTTGGGCCGAGGGAATTATTCTGCGTCTACATCTATCTGGAAATACAGTGAGACAGTTTAAAAGAATGATCTTATTTTTCATGGCCATTCAGCTGAGAAGATACTGGGTTGGGAGATAATGAAGTGAAACATGTGTAAAATCTGCTTGAGTGTTCTTTGGTGGGTTTTTTTCTCCCTCTTGGCTTCATTTATTTTCTTTTTATTCAAATAATATTATATGATAATATGGTTATTTCTGATATTTGTCACCATATTTCTGAGAATTCTGGTGTCTGTTTCTTCTTTCCATCTCCTCCTATTTTTTGCTACATCCTTTCTGTCTCCTTTAGGTTTATGAATATCTTGAACTTTAGAAGAGGCTGGAGTGCAGCCCCTCTGCATGCCTGACTGTGTTCTGATTTGGAATAGGGCCTCAAGGTAGAAAACTTGATTTAGAAAAAAAAAAATCTGAAGCTCATTATAGTTGTTTCAGTGACTTTCTTGAATAACCTAAGCACAAGATTTTGAAGATGTGTCTGAACTAGGATACTTCCTGCATGTGACAACAAATTAGCTAGAAATTCTTACTTGTTTTTCAAATACTTTAAAAACATGAACTTTGTGAAAATCTGATACCTTACGACCAGCGTACCCCATGTGTAAGCTACACTGGTAGTTTCACCACCTGCTTTAGACAATGTGGTAGCAACATTGTGATGGCTGAACATAGGAGGGTCAATAACCTTTTAGCTGAGATATGTTTCAGAAAGAAGGAGGCTTTTATGTAAAGTTAGTTATGAAGGGTATGGAGTGACAAATTCAGCAAGCATCCTAGTGCATTCCATCAGAGTAGGGCAAAGAAGAAAAATCTAAATGCTCAACTTTTGAGTTTTAATATTGCTATATTACTCCAGGTTAGCAACATACATTTTTTTAAATAATGTGTTGCTTCTGCATACAACTGTTGTTGCTCATGCCTTATGGTTGAAAACACACGTGCAGTTAAAAACAGTAATTTACAAGAAAGCCGCCTCCTCTAGAATGGTGGTTGTAGTGGTCTTCATTATCTGTACATAACTTAATGTAAGATGTCAGGTAACGACAGGTATGGATACCCACTCTCCAAATTTTACAAATGAAAATTCTTCATGCTTCTGGCACAGTTGAAGTCAAATTGTACTCATTTCTTCAAAATTAAGGTTAAAGTGTGGTTTTCCAGGCTTCTGCTGTGAATGTGTTGCTTTGCTGAAAGATGTAAAACTGAACTTAGCAGGTACAGCTAATGCATGTGTTTATAGTTGGAACCTAGTCTTGATAGTCTTTGTACAACAGTGGTAGTATAAGAGTAAGAGGGGGTGGTAATATATTTTCAGACTCTTAATATTTTAGTAACAGCAGTGAGATAGATGATTGGTTGAAGTCCATTTACTGTAATGAACTTATACAAGTAGTGATTGAGGAGTTCGTTAAGTAGCAGTAAGGTGCCCTTTTACATAGATGTGTAAAGCACGCTGGCAAGGGATTTATCCTAGCAAAAGCTCATATTTCTCTGTGTGTAACAGTAGAGAACTTTCCATTGCATTTTTTAAAGATGTTCAGTTGAGCTCAAGAGCATAGAGACGTGAGCTAAATATGGACATAGAGGAGAGCAAAGGGGGTTTAGATGTGGAATGGAAAAGTGACTAGTTCCTTATGTGCATGTATTCCCCCCCCCCCCCCCAAGCTGCTTGTTTCTTGTTCTTGGCATAGAACAGGCTTTAGACAAAATTGCTGAGCTTCCAGAGCTGCTTCCCAATTAAGTGCGTCTCCATTCTATTTGATAATTATGTAACTGACAGACCACAATACCTCGTGGTCTCTCTTCAATGTTGCATCTGTGCAATAGTTTCAAATAGCAATATCCTTATGTTTCTAGAAGTTACTAGACCATATTTGTGGTAATTTCTTAGGAAGATTGACAGAAAGAGGTGCTGGTTTTGTCAGACTTCACGTGAGCCATTTTAATAGCTTAATTCATGTTAATGAACTGCAGCAGATTGCAGTGCAAATCTTACCATGTCAAAGTAGCAAAGTCTCTTAAACAGTTAAGTGTTACGTATGGAAATACAAGTAGGGATGGGAATTCTAGGCTGGAGAATGAATGTAGAAAAGAAATACTTAAATTACAGAACTAATTTAAGCTAAGCATTCATAAGCTGCATTTCTGTGTTGTTTATTTTCATAGACATTGTTTGACAGCAACCCTTCCTTTAAATCATCACTGTCACATGCATTTCATGATTCTCCAGTGAACAGGATGGCTACTAGCAGGCTGCTACCTTTTCTGTTTGCTTAAGTCTGTGCATATGCCAAGGCTTGTTTCATGTGCTGTGACTCTTCAACTTTGCCTTCACCCAGGTTAATGTAAATACCAGGTGAGTTTGAGAAGTCTGCTTGTCTGTGGAGTAAGAGAGCTTCCCAGGTTGCTTTTTGTTTGTCTAGGGAGAGAAGGAGAGAACAAGATTTTTCTCTCTCCTCTCCATAACGAGTGTTTGAATTTTGAAGCAGTGAATAAAAATTTAAAAAAAAAAATTGACCTGACTGTTTGCCCAGCTGTTTGCTGGAATGTGAAGAGTTTAGGCATGGCCTTTTGGCCTTGAGTCTTCAAAGGGCCGGTTTCAGAAATAACTGAGATGACCTTTTGCGTGTGCAGGTGTTAATTGTGTTATGAATTGTACTGAGAATAACTGCTGCCATCGCAGAATGTGTACCTTTTCTGCATCAGTGGTGAAAATACATAAGCAGTTATTCTTTGTATATACTGAAAACAAGCTGTTGGATTGTTAGAGTTGCTTCAGCCATAGAAAAGTATTTTTGAGGCATCTGGATGTTTAAGTCATTCAAATGGCAGTTGTGTAATACACACATATCTTGTGCTCCAGGAATTACTGCACTAAACTCTTTGAAAGAATGTGTGCTTTGCTTTTTTTCCTTTCTATAGGTTAAATCCTTTCAGTTAGCTACAACTCTACTATGACTTTTAGTAGCTAATTTTTGCACTCAATATGGCAAAACTGAAACTACTGCGCTATTTTATTCTTTTAATTGAAATTAAAATGTTAGAATGTTCTGTCTAGTTTTTAAATTGCCAAGTTTCCTCAAACTTAAACTCTGGGTTTTTTAGGAAAATTGCTGGAGATGCTCTAGTAAAGTCCATAATAATGCTTATACAATAACTTGGTAATTTTACCTTCTCCTCCTAGCTACTTCAATATTTAAATTGATTGAAGTTCATGCTGCTAAGGCAGAAAAGTAAATGTGCAACAGTGGGGTTTCACATTTGTTGTGCACAAAGTTGCAATCTGGTTAAAGTCTGGATGGATTTGGCTGGTATACTAATTGGCATTGATGCTTCTGAAATTGTGTAATCAGCTATTTTGCTGATTGTCACAAGGTGTTTTGTGTGTGTGTGTCCCTTTACTTTAGCTGGCAACGTAGAATTAACCAAGTGTTCAAAGGTGTTTGTTGTTTTTTTTATTTCCTCTGTGCCTCATTTTCTCAGACATGCAGATACTGGTCTGTGCTAAAGACGGGACACACTGGGCTCAATGTAAGAAGGGTGGAAGGAAGTTCAAGGAAATTTAAATCAAGAGCAGGGTGCCTGTAGATGTAAATTTCATCTAATAAATGCAGAAAGCTTTAAAATAATCTGTTGTTCAATAGGGCTGGTTTTGTTTGGTTTTTCCTAGCTGTTAGGAAAGAGTTTCTTCAGTGTGGCTGCTTGTCATTTTTCTGAAATGTTTTGTAACACACCACATTTGGCTGGTGAACATGTGCGAGGGTGTGGTAGTGGTCAACTGCTCTTTTCTACTAATAATACTGCCATGGATTGTAACGTGCTAGAGACTGTATTTGATAACTTACTTTGTTAATAAATTTTCAGTCTTTGAGAGAGAGGAGGAAACAAATCTTAGATGGACATTAACATGCTAATTAGGAAACCTTAATCACTATTTAATAAGTTTTAAGCTGTACCAAGTTTTTGAAATATTTCAAATTCATATTCCAATGAGTAGCTTTTGATAGCCAAATATTTTTTTTTTTCTACATATACTGGCTTTATGCAAAATTCCATTGATAGTTATAGCTATTTCTATGAACTGTTTGGGCATTCTGCTTTAGTAATGTGTGCTGGATTTATACTAAATGTAAAGCATTTAGTAATGCTTTGAACGGATTGTCATGATTATCTTTCTGTCTCTGTGAATGTAGACTTTACCTTTCTGAAATGCATAATGTTGCTGTAAATAAATTCTGCATGTTTATTCCTATGCACCCCACCTATGGAAAAAGGTTTTTATTAGCATTTACTTTTTTATTGCAGGAGAATGTTTGAAGTTACAATCTTATTTCTTGGTTTTAATTATTTAAATGTAACAGCAATTTTGTTTCCTAATCAGTTCTAAAATATTATTACAAATGTCTTTTCTATGTGCCGACTGGGTAGCTGGCAGATAAGGCAAAAGCATGAGGATTTCCTCCCAAGAATGAAACTCTTGCTGCTCACTGATAAGGGATAATTATTACATAATCATCTTAATTTGCAAACATGTACATAATTGCCAGTACCAGGGTGTTAGGTCTGGATTTGTATTCTGTTCAGAACCATTTTCTCACATACTGAAGTAGTCTCATGTGGACTGTATAGGCTGGTTTTAGGTTGGTGGGGTTTTGTTGCTGTGGTCTTGAGTTGGGTGGGTTGTTCTTCTTTGTTTGCTTATTTGTTTTTTGTTTTGGCTTTATACCTGATCAACCCTACTTTTTGAGAAGTTACTTAATGCTCTCTCTGCAGATCCATTGTCTGCATTCCACTAACTTCAGTAGTTCTAAACCTTCTGTCTAAGTTGCCCTTGAAAGGCTGCACTTGTTTTGTGAAGCATGCTGCATGAAGGATGTTAGATGAGTATACTTCTTACAACAAAATTGTGTAATCTAAGAATTTCAGGTGCCTGGTGCTTGAACTTTGATAAATGCTGCTGCTTTCTATCAGCACAGTTGTTTAGGGAAGCAGAAAAGTGACACTTAACAGGCTGTTTAATTAAACTCGGGCTTTGATTAAAAATTTTTGATGATGTAGTTAAAGAGAATGAACTGATTTTGCAGTATTACCAATATAATTAATGAAGTACAAGATTACACGTTACATAGTTGGGCAGTGACACTTTCCTGTAAAAGGATAAAGAAACTGTTCATTTAGTATATTTCATGTGGATGTATTTCTGTTTCAAGTAGATGTAATATATAAACTCTGCTGAGGAAGATTAATGTTGCAAAAAGCAGTATAGCTCCTTGATATGGTTGCGTATAAGGCCATCTCCAGTCTTTTTCCAAAGGTGACTTTAATTAGGAGACTTGAGAGAAGAAAAAACACTGTCCTGCCAACTGCTTTTGAAATTTGTTTTTTAGCAGGAAAACTATTTAGTATTATAAACAAAACCCCAAAGTTCTCTGTGTAGGGGTGAGGTTATATAAAAATGGCTGAAGTTTAGAACATTGAGTCCTCAGTAAGAATTTCTGCTATTGTTTTGTTTGAGTGCAAGAAAATATGTTTGAAAACCCAAAACATTTTAAAATTGACCGTGTATAAATAAATTCCATTCCTCCCTCCACACCAAACAAACTTGAGGAATGGTACCCATGAAGCTCCATGGATTTTCAATGCCTGTTAAATCTGTAATTTTTCATACTCTTGAAACACTTCCGCATCCTGAATGTACATTAGGGCAGTATTTGACAAAAAACTGTAAATTTTGTTCAGGCTATATGAGTAGAAAATACGCATTACAATAGTAGTATGCATCTAATATCTTGCTCTTGGTCTGGTTTCCCCAGTGTTAGGGAGGGAGAAATAGGTCTGTGCATTTCAGTAGAGGTCATGAAGTCTATGCCTGTGGAAGGCTGCTTTTTTCTGTGGGTTGTGGTGTTTTGTTTTGTTTTCTTTTGGTGTGTTTTGTTTGTTTGCATGTGGAATTTTTAATACTTTAATTTTTTTAATACTGATCTATATCTTACATAAATGAAAAGTATTATGGAAAGTGTTACCTAAACAGGGTGCATAAAATGTTCTTTTAAGTTTTTTGTGATGGGTTTACATTATGTTCCTAAGCAAAGTTTTGTACCAGAAATAAGACTTTAAGTTTCAGATTAAAAAACCACCACAAAACACAAACACCCCCCTCATCCAGTTTGGTACTAATATAGTGCTCTTCACTATTTAAAAAATCTAGTAAAAAATTTGCTTCACACTAAAATATTAATTAGTCCTTCCTTACAACTGGTCAGTCTATTCTGTTCTAATACTGTTTTAACAGTAGAAGACTTAAGACTCTGTAAACAATATGCATTGTGTTTAACTATTCAACAGTGAAGATTAATAATTAAACTCATACCAAGACAAAAGGGAAGACTGGTGTAGTTGTTGCACTAGTTTACATTTACTACTGTTTTAATTCTCATACAGTTATTTCACAAAAAGGTATCATACTTCCATGTCGTAGGTCAGAGAATGCCAATTATTGTAAGCTGAGTTTTGGCATATCATGAGGGCTTCTAATAAGGTGATTAAAAAAGTCTGCACTTTCTTTAGAGGCAGTTTCTTTGCCTGTTTGCTGTGAAAAGGAGAGAGTCCAATAAGGGCCATGTAATTTTGTTATCTGGACGAATCCTAGTGAAATTAGAAGGTTTGGTCATGAGCATCAATTTTTATACCACAGTCACCTTAATCAGTTGGGTCAACTGTGGATAGTGGATGCGAAAATGGCACTTAATGGATTGTTTTGTACAGACGTAAAATGGTCAGGAACATGCTTCATTTCTTATGTGTGGAAGTACTGATTTACAACGCAAAATAAAAGTGGTTTTCATTTTGTGAGATTGTTCTTTGCAGTTTTAACCGTTTTCTAACTTTCAGAAAACAAGTGTGAGATTGAAAATGACTGCCACTGAAATAATGCTGATGTATGAAATGGAGGAGAAGTTGTTTCCTGTGAAATAACAATTGGAAATTATTTTATCCTTGAAAGCCATACATCTTACATGTGAATGATTAATCTGAGTCACATGTATGAAGTTTATGGCATTGTGCAATAAAAGGAATACTTTGTAATGATCGTGGATCTTTAACTCTGGAAGTTTATATTGGAACTTCCTATTCATACTGTATCATTTTTAAAAAAATCAGTAATATGACAGTTTTATCTATAATTGAAGTAAATTCAGTTAAATTTGAAGATTCCACTCATTTAAGAGTTTGTGGATGTTTAAGTGTATGGGTGGGGGGAAATCAGTCGCCTCAGCTTTGTTTACTTCCTAGAGCTGAAAGCTTTACCATTTGGAAGCTGGGAAAATTAGAATGAGGGATTTTGTTACTTTCAGCAGAGAATCCTGTAGGTTAGCTCTCTTTGGGAATATTTAGGGTAGAAGAAAGGAGGTTATGTAAATAAATTAATGAATATGTAGCCTAAATGCCAGTTTGTGTGAATTACAGTTGGTGGCAGATACTACAGTGAGAAATATGTATTGGTATTTTATTAGTCTGGAATTGGTAGAGGACTTCACTTTTCATGTCTATTTTCATAACGTAAGACATTTATTTCTATCAAGTGATGGTTTTAAAGCTTAGATACAGGAAGCTGCTTAGAATCTAGAGTTTGTATTCCTAGAATAATTTCTGCAAGCCTTTCTTCCCTTTGCAGGCAAGACAGTGATCTTTCTCAGCATGTTTGCAGTCCTGTTCTACAGTGTGTGTTGAGGGGGCTTTGGTGGTGTGATTTCTTTCTGTTGGTTTATTTTGTTTTGTGTTTGAGTTTTGTTTTGTTCCCACAGAAATTCTGTTTCAAGATTTCTCCTAGGTCGTGACTGTTCATTTTTAGTACTTAGCACTGTGTGTCCCTTAACTGTGGTTTTCAAAGTGTTAGTTTGCGGTTAGATTTCTCTACCCCCCTCCCCCTTCCATTTTTACTATGCATTTTCTATCTTTAGTTAAGTGTTTCTACATTTAATTTACTTCATGAACCAAAACTGTGAACCAAGAAGGTGTTTGGGAGCGGTAGGGTTACATGGAAAGTAATTTGCATGGAAATGTTTTCGTAAGTAAAGAAATTCATGAGCTGCAGACAAACTAGCATAGGAAGAAATATTGCATATGAACAGATGCAAAGGGAGGATAAGGCTGTATTGTTTAGCGTAGGATGGGTTATTACACAGGATCCTGACAAGAGAATGTTTTAGGTTTAGTGTAGGATGACTACATGAAGTTGTTTCTAAGGAAACTGGTGCTAAGAGAGTAAGGTAACATTTCTATGGCTAACCTGTGTGTCTGTATGTGTGTATGTATATATTTTAAGTGTGTTGAGTCTCTATAATAGGATAATTGACAAGTGTCTTGCTGTATTTAAGGCTGCAGGATAATTTCTTTATTATGATTTCCCAAATCCTGTAAGTAAAGTAGAGGAGTGCTTTCGTCATACACAGAAGATAGATGTCTCCTTCCACATTCTTGATTATCTTAACTCTTCCCTTTTCTGCTTCATTCATTTCATGAACTCCTAAGAGGGGACTTAGCTACAAGTGTACAATTGGTTTTATTCAGGTTCTTAGACTGTGATGCAAACAGGGCTTAAATTTTTCTCTAGAGTCACCTGACTTTCATAGCTTTCTACAACTACTCTGTACAATACAGTGAAAACATCAGCTTTAAAATTCTTTTAAAACTCTTCATAAAAGTGTTTCAGTGTTGTTTCTTCAGTCACATTGCCCTGTTTGTCTTCAGCAATTTTGTACCTGCGAAGCACGGTTTCACTGTAGTAATTGTAGAAAGAGGATTTGACAGGTGAGTTTTCTGGTGCTTGAAAAGGCACAGAAGGTAATTTAGGGTTCAAAATTACTTACAGGAGGCTTTTTGGAACAGATGGGTTGTCTTTTTACCCCTTTTTTTTTCTCCCAGCAGCTGATGTAGATGTAACCTATAAGAAATGGAGCTCACTGTGCAAGTATGGTACTGTGAAAGTTTACAGAAATATTGTCAATCATCTTTGACTTCGGTGTGGTAAGGCTTTCTCCCATAGTTTTCACATGACTTTGTTGCTGATACCCAAAAAGAAAGTTTTTTTTTAGGCTGATTATTACTAGTGAGTCAGAGTTGGCTGGGAAGAAATGTCTTATCCAAGTTGTTTTGCATGACTAAGGCTTTTCTAATGAGGCTGGCAACTAAAACCCACATATAGAATATGTCAGCATTTATATTTTAAAGTTGGAATGCATGTCTGTCTGCTTAAGCTTGCCTATAAATTACCTAAGAACTGGAGTTGGAAGAGGGCTCTCTTTTTATTAAAAGAGAGTACTTGAGCTGATGATTGAAATTAATAACTGTTCAGATGTTTCGTTTCTTCTTTTGTCAGCTTTGTACCTTGTAGAAGTTTGTTTCTCTATGCTGTGGAGCTGTATGACCATGAGAGTTCTGGCAGAATGCTTGTATGTGTTTCTAACGCCAAGTTGCAGTTGTAGTTCAGATTGTTGTTCTTTAAAAAATTTATTTATTTTCTAATGTCCTTACCAAAATGTCAGCTTATATAATTGTTTATTAAGTCTCACTGTGATAGAATAGTATGTTTATATAAATGGATAGAAGGGATATGTTTCTTTTAAGAAATATATAATATAATACATTGTACTTTTAAGTAAGTACAAGAGGTAATCTACGAAAATCAAATATTCCCGAGGCTGATCTTACTTTCTCTTGGGATCAGATTAGCCTAGGAGTCAACCACTTCTCCATTGTGGAAATCAGACCATACCTTGGCTGTTTAATATATAGTCTAGTATGTAACTTGACAGTAGCCAAATGAAGCTGTATCTGCCTATATACTGAGCAATTAAGGAGGGGTATGCTTCTAGGAGA